GTAGTAGTAGAGAGAGAGAGAGAGAGAGAGAGAGAGAGAGAGATATTAGGTTTGGTGATAGTCAAAATCAACACACCTATGTTTTCTTTAAAAGATTAAAAGTATTATGGTAAAAAAAAAAGGCCTCTCTATAAAAGAGGGTCAAGGAAGACACAATACTTATCCTTTAAGGGTCACCCCTTTGGGGTTCATGAGAAGGGGTCTCCAAAAAAGAGAGAGAGAGACATGGCCTCATAGAGATGTGGTTTTAGTTTGGTTAAAGCTTCACAGATAACATCTCTTGGTTGCTCTCAAGGTTCTCTTTTCAGTAACAGTGTAGCGTTGATTGATGATGTTGTTCAGTCGGGAGTGCGAGTTTAGAAGGAAAAATTGGTGAAGGTTTTTTTCGATTTTTGGAGAGAGGTACATATCTTTGTAGCCCAAAACTGTAACCTTCATTGTGACAGTGGATTTCTACTTGCCGAGGCCATGGATGTAGCCATGTGGGGCGAACCACGTAAATCGGGTGTCATTGTGGTGTGATATTAGGTTTGTTTTATTACTTGCCTCGATTTATGTTTATATTGATCTATTTCTAATTTAGCTAACTATGTACATGATCTTGGGTAGGATCCTAGTATTTGGAATTCCTAGTTCCGCAAGCAAGGGGTTTCCAAGGACATTACAATTGGTATTTGAGAATAGGGTGTATATAAGGCTAAGGCTTGTATTCCTAGTGAAAAAAAGATGAATCATAAAGTTAGATGGATACATTATTTGAGGTGGAGAAATTTGGACGCAAAGTGTTTATAAAAATTTCACAATGGTGGCAAAAGAGAAGAAATCAAGAAATCTATTCAATGAAGGTCAGTAAGGCAAATTTGATGATTTTGCTATCAAGCTAGAGATTGTTAGAGTTAGTAATAGTCAAAATTACCGCATCGATGTTTTCTCTAAAAGATTAAGGGTGTTATGATTAAAAAAAAGAAAGGGCTTTCTTGGGGAGCAAAGAAGAAGCCCTAGTGATCTCTATAAAAGGGGATCAAGGAAGGCATAATATATATCCTTTAAGGGTTACCCTTTTTTGGGGTTCATGGGAAGGGATCTTGAAAAAGGAGATGAGTCTCCAAGATAAAGAGAGGCGGTTTTTCCATGGTAGTTTTGGATTGGTTGAAGTTTCACTTCTAGAGGAAGAAAATCTCTTGGTTGCTCTCAATGTTTTCTTTTCAATAGCAATGTAGCTGTAGGAAAGATGAGGTTAATCGACGGTATTGTTCGGTCGGGAAGCGGGTTCAAAAGGAAAGATTGGTGAGGGTTTTTACTGATGTTTGGAGAGAGGTACATCTCTTTGTAACCCAAAACTGTAATATTCATTGTGACAATGGATTATTGCTTGTTGAGGCTATGGATGTCCTTTAGGGTGAACCATGTAAATTGTATGTTGTTGTGGTGTGATTTTGGTTTTTCTTTATTTCTTGCCGCAATTTATGTTTGTATTGATCTATTTCGCATTTAGCCAACTATGTACACGATCTTGGATGGATCCCGGTTTGGGATTCCTAGTTCCACAAGTGAGGAGTTACAGATGACCTCACAAGAGAGACTAATAGGATTGACTTTGTGTAGAGAGAGAGTGAAAGAGAGAGACTGGTAGCATTGTCTTTGTGTAGAGTGAGAGAGAGATTGTAGTAACATTGACTTTGTGTAGAGAGAGACAACAGTAGGGCTTGCTGTGTAAAGTGAAAGGTAGAGTTACATTTGTGGGTGAGAGAGAGAGACTAGTAGGATTGTCTTTGGAGAGAGAGAGAGAGAGAGAGAGAGAGAGAGAGAGTAGTAGGGAAGTGAGGTAGGAGGTAGTTAGGTATAAGTATTAGCAAGTAGTTAGGTTATATATATATGTGTGTGTGTG